AGGTGTCCTGTCCTGGACTTTCCCACCTCTCAGGGAGCCCCTGCACCAAAAGTGCCCTCCCCCCACCGCTTCTACCCCCCAAACTCCCAGAGACTCCCCAGGCCCAGCCTAGGGACACCACTCCTGAAAAGCGTCCACAGGGCCCCAAATATGTGCCCCCCACCAGGTGGTCTCCCCTCCTCTGGGCCCTCACGGCACCGCCCTGGCCTCTCCTAGGGCACTTGGAGTTATTTACGGCCTGGGCTTATCTCCTGCAGCCCAGAGGGCAGCTCCTCCAGGAAGGGGCTGGGTTTTACTCCTCTCTCCCCGGCCGCCCGCACCGCCCACAGCCCTGCACCGAGCAGGCACTCCCTTCTGCTGCGTGGAAGGGCGCCTCTCTCTCCCACTACCCTCCGTGAATAACTTGAAAGGAAGGCCCTTCACATGTGCACAGCATCTGACAGTTTAGGAGGCTCTTGCATGAGCCGCTTCTCATCTGATCTCAGCGAGGGAGAGATCCCTTACCCTCCTTTGACAGAGGAGGACACTGAGGGTCCCAGAGGCTAAGCGACAATTCCCCACGGTCACCCAGGTGGAGGGGTCAGGACTGTTCGAGGACCTCCAACTAGAGTCAGGAGACGGACAAGGAAACAAAATACAGAGCGGGCCCCGTGTGCAGGGCACAGACCCTCTAGATTGGGTCCCTTGACCACGTTGTCTTCTCCATCTGCCCCTGCGGACGTCTTGCGCAACCCTCAGCTGCACAGGGCAGAGCAGTTCCGTCGCCCTCCACGCCCTGTCTCGCTCCTGCCTCGCAACTCCCCGGGAGGTAAAGACAATATTTTACAGAGGAGGAGGAGGAGGCTTAAGGAGAGTGACTTGCCCACGACCCCCGAGCCAACTTCTGCTCCCGGGGCTTGGGCGCGATCGCCGGATTCAGGGGGCCCCTTAATCCGCGCGCACGGGGCCCGTCTTGGTGGACGACGGGTCCCTACTTACAGCCATTTGATGCCGTAGCAGACGCCGGTCTGGAGAGCCAGGGCGAAGAGCAGCGCCTCGCAGAGCTGCGGCCGCGGCCTCATGGTCGCGCGGCGGCGCGGGGTCGCAAGGTGGAGAAGCCGCCGGAGTCCCGCCGCGCGTCCTGTGCGCACGCCGCCTGCGGTCGGGAGAGCGGGCGCTGGTGAGGGCGGCGCGGGCGGGGGCCGCGAGGGGGGCGTTGTATTCAAATTACAAAGGAGGGTCGGGGCCCTTCCGCCCCGCACGGCCCGGGACGCGGCGGCGTCTGGCTCGAATTAGGCGCCGCCGAGCGCGTCCGAGGGCGTGTCCACTGAGCGCGGTCCGGCCCGGCCTCGCCTTTGCGCCCGCGGGAAGCGAACCGGGCGCCAGGACCAGAGACACCCGGCGGAGAGGGGCAGAGAGACAGAGAGAGGGACAGAGATGCCAAAGACCGGCTCAAAGACACTGAGGCAGAGGGGGAAGCCGGGAAGGACCCTCAGACCTCGGAGGGACGGAGAGGAGCGGACGCAGGGGTCCAGGGCGGAGGAGGAGCAGGTTCGGGCCAGGATCTGGGGTATTATCTCCGCAATATTAATTATTAATTACTGTAGCCCTTGGCAGCTCTTCCCTCCCACTAGGCCTCAGTTTACCCCCTCTGTAAACTGGGGACACAACTGTGATGCGGACACAATTCACCTTTCATAAAGACGTTCACCTAACACGATGGCGTTTGCTCCTCCAGCGCCCCTGTGCCATAGGCACTGTCACTGCCCCTATCTCACAGATGAGAAAACTGAGGCCCAGAGATGTGAAATGCGGTTGTTCAGCCAGTGAGCGGCGGGTCCACGCCCGTGTTCTCCCACATCTACCGGGGGTCCGGAGACAGAGAAGATAAGGAAATGGGGGCTTGCTCTGGGCATCGGTTTCGCCGTCTGTGAAGGGGAGGATGAGAAATGGGATGGCAAAGGTCTTTGTACAGTGAGGGCTGCTGAGGGTCCCGAGTCTCCATTCCCTCTCCAGCCGTCTCCCTTTGGAGCGTCCCGTGGTGCCCAGGCCAGAGCGCAGGCAAGGCATCCTGGCCTTGGCTAAACAGGGAAGCTCACGGGGGGGCCGGCGCGATGCCGCCTCCGGCCGCCAGGCGGCGTCCTGGGGCCGCGGAGCAGCAGTTACCCCGCCCGCCCGCAGGCAGCAGAGCCGCTTTCTCTGGCTTTTTTTTTTCTTCTTCTTTTTTCCCTCTTCATTCTCACCTCATTAACTCCCTTCCCAGCTTCTCCCAAATTCACCAACACCTGGCGTTCGCCCGGAGACACACAGGCCCAGACCCTCTCCCTTGGGGAGGAGGAGACAAAGGGATTCCTTTCTAAAAGATTTGGGGAGCCAAAAAAAAGAGGCGTCCGCCTTAGTGGGGGAACTTGAGCGGGAAGGGGGCGTTCCCCTCTGGCTGTGTGAACTTGGGCAAGCCGTCCACCACCTCCAACCTCGGTTTCTCCTTCTATAGAAACGAGGGGCTGAACTTGGCCGCCCCTCTCCTGAGCTCTTCCCAGCCTCCCCGCGGTCTGCGGTCTCTAAGCGCCCCCTCCTAGGTTTCCGCGATTACGCGTACCTGTGTAGTGTGTGCGTGCACGGGTGTGCCTTAAGCGCGCGCGCGCGCGCGCACACACACACACACACACACTTGAAACCCCACTGTTTTCTGAAGCCTTCCAGCATAACGCAGAGGAAGGCAGGGAGAAAATCCTGAATTACATTTTTTCTCTCCTGCGAAGAGTCTCCCGTCCTTCGAAGAGTCCCCGCTAAGCGCCTAACAGAGGCGCTGGCTACAAACTTGGCGAGTCAAGGCTAGGGGTCCCGGCGGGGTTCTCAGTGTAACTGAGCCCCCTCCTCCCCCCCAGCCTGTATCCAAACCCTTTGTCTTACTGGCCCTGAAAGCTTACCACACTCTCGGGAACGAGAAAAATATCGGCTGGAAATGAGGGAGGGGAGAGCATCAAAACGCCAGTCACTGTCTCTCTTCGCCCCCACTCCCTCCCGAAGTGTGGGCTCCCCCCCAAGACGCCCGGAATTCCTGGGTGGGGAGGGGAAGGGGCTGTACGCGGAGAGAGGAGAGCGCGGACTCACAACAGGGGATCCGTGTCCAGCCCAACCCGTCCAGAGAGAGGAGGGGCCGTCCGGGTCACACAGCGCACGGGGACCCAGGCCTCCAGCCACTCCCGGCTCTTTCCGAGCTGCCCCGGTGGTCCCGGGCTTCTCCCTCCGCTGCCGCCCCAGCACGTCCCAGGAGGAGGCAGCGCTGGCCTGGGCCTCTGGGTCCTGACGGATTATTCCTGTCCCGTGTAAGAGCGTCCAGGACAGCCGCGGGGGCCGCTGGGTCACTCTCAGCCTGCGCCCCGCGGGTCAGGGCGCACTCGCCTCCCGGAGCCCCCGGCCCGCCAGGGGGCGCTAAGCAGGGGGTCGAGGTGGGATCCGCAGCTGCCTCCCGCGCCGTGGGACTTTGGGCACGTCCCCTCGTCTTCCTGGGACCCAGTGTCCCCGTATGGGGATGGGATGAGGGGTAGAATAAGTGCCCTCTCAGTTCCGGTCGTTCTATAAGACATCCACTTGCCGTGCTCAGCCAGGAACTGCCCGACCCCTTGCTTCAGGCCCAGCGCGGAGCCTCCCTTGGGTCCAGGCTCGTAGTGGGCCCGCGTCAAAGCGCAGAGTCTTTGGAGAGATTAGCGGCCCCTTCCTCCCCGCTGGGGATAAGGTCCAAGCTACCCCGTTTGCAGCGGGCGAGAAAAGGGGCCACCCGGGCTGTGCACCGCGAGCGCAGGAGCTGCAGCCCCGCTCCAACAGGTGGTTATAAGGCTTGAGCTCTGGAAGTCCCTGGAAACCCCGCTGCTAGGGCGACCGCCCCTCTGAGCCAAGCCGGCGGGGACATGCCGAGCCTCCTCTACTCGGATGAGCCCGCGCTGGGCCGGGAGCAGGCACGGCTCGCGGGGACAGAGTGCCCACGACACGCGTTTAAGGTCGGCGCGGGCACGGCCTGAAGCCTCCCGCTGTGCAGCTCGCAGAGCCACCCTGCGAGCGGGTGACGCCGAGCGACCGCTTCAAGGTTACCTGCGACGCGGAGAGAGGCCAGGCCCGCAAGCCGGCTTGGACCCCCGCTGCGAGTCCTGAGAGATGGGTCTGCTCGGCTGCGGACGACGCGCCGGGCAGCCAGGTCACCCGCGAGACGGGTTATTTGCAAGTGGGAAGGGTGGGGTGGGGGACCTCCGGGCACCTCCCACTACCCCTCTGGAGCCGGACCTGAGCGCCTAAGGACCGTGAGGGTCATGGAGGCGGGAGCGCCGGGAGGTGGGAGGTGTGGGCTCTTGCGCGAGCTCAGCCAGATGTTCGAGGCGGTTCCAGATGTGCCTCCGGGCTGGGGACCGGACTCTTCTCCTCCCCACCCCCAGCCTGGAGCTCAGGTCTGTAAACAAACCCTCGGTTCACCCCCTTTCCTCGCTGCTCTGGGAGCCGGTCTCCAAGCGAGGCGTCCGCCCCCACCCCCCAATTCTGTAGGAGCCGCCGTAGTTCCCTGCCTTTTGCCACCCTCTCCGGCCGCGCCACACACACCCTCTGCCGCAAGATCCAAGTCCCCCACCCCCGGGATGGCTCGGGCATGACCTCATCTGCGTGCCGACTGGGAGGGAGGGGGTCGAATCGGGGGGTGGGGGGGTGGTGGCGAACGGGACCAGGAAGGCTTGCGGCGGGCCGCAGGAACCCCACAGCCACCTCCATCACTTATCTGCGTAAAGCGGCGCCCCCAGCTCCCCGCGGCTGCGCTCCGTAAGGGAGATTCCTCGGAGTGCCGCGGAGCAGAGGTATGGAGGAGGGCTTGGTTTGCTTATCCAGAGTGGGTGCCCAACGGGGTCGCGCCGTCTCCTTCGGACTGGGCGCCCCCCGCCCTAGCAGGTCCCGGCTGAGCGCCCGCCCGCGGCCACTGCTCACCTCCTGGAGCGCTCGCCGGGCGCGCCCTGAGTGCCCTGCTGCCCGGCGGGCCGGAGAGCGGCGAGCGCGGCCCCCAGCGGACCCGAGCGCCCTCCGGTCTGGGCAGGCAGCGGCAGCGCCCTCTTCGCGAAGCGGCCGGAGAAGGACGCCGGGATCCGGAGGAGCGGCGGCCGGCTCGGGTCCCGCAGGGACTGTGGCGCGGACTCAGGCTGCTCTGGGCCTGCCTCGCCCGCTCTCCGGACCTCTCCTCCTCGCCCGGCACGGTCTCTGGCGCGGGCCGCCCAAACTGCTTTATAAGGCGCGGGCAGCCGCTTTGATCCGCCCACGTCAGCGCGCCGAAACCCCACCGGGTGGCTCCAGCCGCGCGCCGGGGGCGGGGGCGGGGTCCCCGCAGATTCCACGGACCCGCGGCGCCAGCGGCGCAGAGGACTTCGCACCCTGTTGAGTTACAAAGGGGGGACTTACTAACGACAGCTGGCGTTTACTAAGCGTGACTGCTGCGGGCCTACTGCATGCCTGCGGCGCGTGGGCCCAGGTAGGGCCGGTTTCTAAACCTTGCAGCAAGCCGGGCAAGGAACCCCAACCGTCTGGTTTGACAGAGGATGAAGCCAAGGCTCAGAGGGAAGTCCCACTTAGGTGTCAGTCTGAGCCCGGGCGAGCATCACTAGGTGCCATCTTGCAGCTGGGTTACTATGGGCGTCCGGGGTCCCAAGAACTGTGTTGGCGTCCTAGTCCGTCCTTTGTGGGGTCATCTCTCCAGGCCTCTGGTTCTAGTTCTGGAAAAGGGATCAACCATCCTGAGATTTCTGCGGAGAAGGGAGGCGTGAGGGCTCTGTGCTGCAAAGCGCACTGTAAACCTTAGGCACCGAGAAGATGGGTGTCCCAGCCTCTAGGTTGGCTGTTGGGGAGCCTTCTGAGCACCTTGCCCTCCGTCCTCAGGGGACCACCAACAGAGGACAGAGTTTCAGAAGGGAAAGGGGACTAGAGAAGTACTTCCTGCGGTGTAGACCTGGCCTAGGGCTGGGGCTGTGTTTCTGGGGTGACTTCCCTGGGACTGGTGGGGTGAGTGTGTCCATCCCCTCCCACCATGTCCTTCCTGGCTGACGGTACACCTCCTCCTCCATCTTCCTGCTGAGTCAGGGGCTGAGGTTTCCATGGCTTCTGTCTCCCCCCACCCCAGGGGCCTCAATCCCAAGGGTAATCTAGTTCATTAGTAGAAGGGGAAACATAGACTTAGTGAAAAGGGGCTTGTCTCAGGTCCCAAAAAAGCCCTGGTACTCTTTTCCCCATTCTTTACACCCATAGGCTGCCCCGACCTGGCTACAGTTACCTCCAAATACAGCACCCACATCTGGGCCCACAGAGCCGACTGCAGGCTGCAGCCATACAAGCACCCCTGCAGAGGTACAGCCACTCCCCCCAGCACACAGGACTGGGACATATCACCCCACAAATGGTCACAACACTCTCAGGAGACACTTGGACACACCCTATGCCCACACATTCAGTAGCACAGATGAGTGAAATGGCCATGCACATCTTCAAGACGAGGCCAGACACACGACTGTCCCCTACCAGTTCCTGCACAAACACGCACGTGCGTCCATGCACACAGTGGGAATGCACACCCGGCTTCTGAGCATGCAACACCAACTACACATACACTCCTGCTCACAGTCACAGGAATGTCCTTATGAACTCGTGCCTGGAGCATTAGGGTCAATAAAAGCTTTGGGAAAGTAGTGGGGCTTTGGGTGGGGCATCTAGGAAGGTAGAGAGGACCAGGCTGCTCCACCTAAGAGGCTGGGGACAAAGGCCTCCAGAGTCGAGTGTCTTCAGCTCTACCACCCCGAGGCGCTCTGGCCACCACCATCAGAGCCGTTCAAGGTGGCCTCTGTCCAGTTGGGATGCACCCTCCTCTGGTCTAGCTCTCTGCTCACTTGAGAAGCTAAATCATTGGTTGCCTCCCAGTATTTGCATAAGCAGTCCTTCAGCCACAGTTCTCCTGGCTCCCAGCTAGAGGAGAAATGGAAAGCAATTTGAAGTCACGTAGACTTGGGTTCCAATGTGGATTTTGCCCAATTTTATTTTTAGCTGTGTGATCTTGAGCCAGTTGCCTAAACTCCCTGAGCCTTAGTTTCCTGATCCATAAAATGGCAGTAATATCATCCCATCGAATCCTCTGTATTCTCCACGATGGGGATTAGCATCCCCATTTCATAGATGTGGAAGCCAAGGCTCAAAAGGGAGGGGCTGGCACCTGTGGGAGCTGATATTTGAACCCGGATCTTTCTGGCTCAGAGGGCACTGTAGCTGGTGGCCCCCACTGAAACAGATGGGAGGAGGGTGGTGACTTTCCATTGTCTCGAGAGGAGTTGAGGGAAGCCAGGAGAATATCCAGGGCTCCTGACATCCAGCACTGGCCCCTCCGGGCCCCTCCCAGCTCCTCAGCTCTGTCTTGTGAATCAAGACTCCCGGGTCAGCGAGGCCTGGAACCCCTGCGTGGGGCAGGGAGGAGGGCTGTGAGGAAGTGGTGGCGAAACCTCCGATTGAGAGTCAAGAGAGATCTGGGGCCAGGGCCTGGCCTTCCCTGTGCCCTGGTCCCATTTGTATAAGGTCGAGTACTTGACCACCTCAGATGTTCTGGAATTCTCTGAGACACTTGTGAGAAGAATTTTATTTTCATCTTTAGAACCAACTGACCTTCTCCTTCCCTTTTCTTCCTCCCTGCTTCTCTTCTTCTTCCTCCTCAAGGGCCACTGTGTGTCCAGCCTGTGCTGGCCACCTGGGCTGCAAGTTCCCCTTCAGAGGGAGGAGGCTGTGATCCGGGCAGAGTTGGCACACTCTTGGCTGCTGCTGCTGTGGACGTTAATGTATTTTCCTTCTCCTCAGTGACCCTGGTGATTCTGGTTATCTGATTGCCCTGATGTGCTGGGGGCTTCCTGTCAGCCAGCTTCTCAGCCCTTGTCTGAGAGCCATGGTCAGGGGCACACACCTTTCCACTCCCCACCCTCTGCACACAGCCACCCAGGGGGCACCCAGGCTGAAAGGACATGGGGGTGGGGGGAGCCCCAGTTCCGTTCCCCATGCTGACCTCTACTGACCCCTCCGCCCACCTCAGCTTCCCTCCCTTGGGGCCAAGGCCTTGGTGGAAATGGGTGGGGGTGAGTTGGCTGTTTCCAGGAGCCCTGGATGGTGGGACAGGTGACTGGTTATAGTCCTTGGCCCCATCAGTAGTTTGCTGTGTGATAGCAGATAATTGTTGTGCTCTCTCTGAGCCCCAGTCATCCCATCTGTAAGCGAGGGGCTGGACTAGATAACCTCCAAGGGCTTTTTCAGCTCCAGAACCCAAGTCTGGGTCGCCTTGACTCTCACCTGTGTCATAGGATGAACCGTGAACATGATGGACACGGTGAGACCAGAGGGTGCTGTTCCCAGCACCAGGGTGCCTTTTAGAAAGGCCTTCCTGGGAAGGCGGGTCGACAGGGGGTCTGGACAGAGTAGCCCAGCCCAGCTGTCCTCTGACCCAGGGGTTGGCATGCCCTATGAGGCCAGACGTTCCAGACAAGGGGGGAGGGGGATCAAACAGCAGCAGGCGTGTCATCAGAGCACCTGGGCCAGGCTCTCAGATTCTCCTCCTTCACTCACCCACTGTGTGACCCTGGGCAAGGCACTCAGCCTTTGTGATCCTTGGTTTCATCATTGCAAAATGAGAAAACCACAAAACCGCTCCCTCCCAAGGCTGCTGGGAGATAAGATTGCAGGAAAGAAGTAATGTTGGTTGACCAAGCACCTACCGTGTGCCGGGCAGTGTCTGTAGGAGAGACGGACCTTGCTCTGCAGAGGAGCACACGGAGCCCGGCCCTGTCTGGTAACTGACGCAGGATCTTCTAGGCAGTGAGTGGGGGAGCCTGGCTGCAAACCCAGGGCTGTGCCCACCTGAGCCTCTGCCCACTGCCCTGGGGGGTGGGGTTACGTCCTCCTCCCCCTCAGTTATCTCGGGGGAGGGATTGTCACTTTACGAGGCTCAGGGAGCAGGCTTGGGAGGGCCAGGTCAGTCCAGAGCTTTTTTTCCTGGGTGCACGTAACAAAACGCCTGTCATGTCTACTGAGGGCGTCACTTCTGAAAGGCCACTTTCAACTCTCCATTGTTTGATTGTGGTGGTGGCTGCTCAGGAGACAATGTTTGTGTTTCTCAGGCCTCTTTCAACTCCAAAAGAGAAACCCAACTCCAACTAGCTTAAACATAAGACAAACCATTGGCTCCTGCAGCTGGAGGAGAAAGTGAGAGGGCCAGTGACCTGAAGGAGAGCTGCATTCAGCAGAGCGTGGGGCTGGTGCTGGCCCTGGTGCCCCCCTGAATGTGCTGTCTGAAACTTATTTCTGCTTCTTGCTGCTCTGTTTGAGGATGTGGGCCTCATTCCTTCCCCCTGGTAGGTAACCACCAACAGCCCCAGTCAGACATTCTGGCCAATGAGAGCTCCTGTCTTCGCGTCCAGGGGAAGGCAGCTGATTGGCCTGCTTGAGTGACATGCCCTCCCTTTGATTGACAGCTGTTATTGCCATGGAGAGGGGGCCCTGGGAATGGCCAGAGGGGAGAAATAGGAAGCAGTGGGCCCCTGGGGCACTTGTGTCCAGGTTGGCAGTTTCTTCCACAGTTGGGTTCTGCTTCTCTGATATGAGTACATGTCAGTGTTTCCGCACCTGGGTCTCACCCCGCACACACATGGGGCCAGAGACCCACTACACCTAGTGCCCCTACGGCACACAGAGAGACACTGAGGCTGAGAGACGAGGACACGGGTGTGTGGTGCAGGGACAAGGGAAATCAGGCCTCCTGACACCCAGCCTGTAAGCCATGCAGTCAGTTGTCACTGGACCTGAACTCTTTCTGGGAGGGCCACTGAGGTAGCTCCCTAATGGCATCAATTCCTCTCATCCCAGGACACACACCCCGCTGTGGAACGTGACTCCATCCAGAGGTGCAGCCTCTTTCCCCACCATTGATCTGGCTGGCCTCATGACTCCCTCGGACTGATGCATGAGACAGAATTCTGCATTCTGGAGCCCAGGCCTCAGGCGCCTTGCAGCTTCTGCTCTCAGCCTCTTGGAGCCCAGCCCAGCGGCACGTCAGAAGCCCAGGCTGGACTACAGAATGGTAAGGCCAGTGCAGAGAGATGCTCAGCTGGCCCAGCAGAACCCAGGCCCAGCTGACCCACTAGTCAGTTGCAGCCGCATGAGCGAGCCCAGCGGGACCAGCAGAACCTCCCCATGAGCCCACAGAATCAGGAGAA